TGTACTGTTGGTATATCAAAATGTAATCACATTTATATTTGGACTTTCAATACTTCTAGCGACTCTGTATTTCAACATAAGAAGAACAATACTCAACAAAATCGTATTTCCCAACAGCATCTATGTCAGTGTGCCAAATAAGTAAACTTGGGCAAACTATGTTCATTTCTCCCCCAGCTATTTTAGGGCTTTCAGTACTGGTGTTGGGAAACAAATCACAACTCCGTTTATCATTCTCATTTACAAGAAATGCAGCCCTTCTTCCAATTCAAGGAGTGCATACTGACTACTCTTTAAATGCATAGCACTGAGCTACACTCTGTAGGAGAAGCAACAATAAGGAGCACAGATAACATCTGCGGAGCTTACAATCTAGTAAGAAAGTTCAGGCACGTATACACACAACTACTACTTCACAAGATAGAGAACAGACGTACCGTTAGAGATGCACAACATTCTAAGGGGACTCAAGGACTGAGCAAGACTAGGAACAGAATAGTTAGGAGAGACTACCTAAGGGGCAGTAGTTAGGATGGACTTACAAGGATCAACGGTAGTCTTTTGATGGGTAGTCAGCCATCTGCCAAGAAAAGGAGAGGACCACCCTCCAGGAGGAGGGAACATCAGGTAACCTAATTACAGACGCTGCAAAAGGTATATAAAATAGTGAGAAATAGGCTGAGAGTACACTGGGCAGATCTTCTTAACGCTAGTGTAAGAAATCTGTATCCAAAAACCATTTAGTAAGACACCCAATATGGATTTATAACTATGGAAACAACACTAAAAAAAGCATCACAAAAGATTTCTTTTGTTGCTGAATTCTCACATAGAAGGCAATGCCTTATTCTGGTTCACTCCAATTTATTGTAAGTAATATTAAGACCCACCCAAAATTATCTTCACTTATGAAAAGGAACATGAAGGATGAATGAATAATTCAATGTAATGCAAGTCATACAGTATCCTCTCATTTGTGTTGAGTCAAACTTCATTGTGCAAATGCATCATGTAAGTAGCTTAATAAAAACAGAGATGCTTAGGTCCCACTTGCCTAATTTGTTCTGATCAATAATTGTGTTGAATTTGTATTTTTCTTATAAACACCCCCATTAACTCATTCACAGATGATCCACAGACTGTGTTTTGAAAAATACTGCCCTCCAGCAAGGTTCTCAGCATGGCACCAATACAGCTGGACAACCAAACAGGTCCCATCACCAAAGATAACAATACATCTCCAGGTGACTTGGATCTAGGCATACTTCAAGTGAGACCCAGGCAAGCATAGCACTTCTATGGCTACAGCACCAAAACCCCAAACTCCAATTTTTGTACCAGCCCAATTACAACCTCTTCTTAAATGATAATAATGTAGACAAAATAGCCAAATCTCCTTATTAGAACTCGGAGCTCAAGAAATTCTTGAGAAAACAACTCCAATTTCTGATAGATGAAAAAATTACTGACAGAAATTCTTGATTATAATCAAGAAATACTGCAGGTAAATAAAAATGAAAAGATCAGTTTGCTGACGGAGTCAATGTCAGTGGATTTTTAGTCTAAGGATTAAATATAATCTAGGTCCAACTATAGTTAGAATGAATACTGATTTATATACAAATGTGGGTGTGAAGGGGTACACAACAGTGAACAATGGAAGGTGGTTCAGTAGCCCGTCTCCAAGACGGCTGCCATCAACCCCTCCCATCCCCACCCCCACCCTTCTGCACAAGTCATCTTCTCCTTGAGAGGTAAAGTCTCTCATTTTCTTGATTTCGGGAAGACTTGTGACTTCTCAGACCAAGAGAATACGGCAGAAGCACTGCATGATTTCCTAAGCAAGGTCATAAAAAGCCCTGCAGCCCTGGCCTTCGGCTGGGTCTTTGGGAACACATATAAAAGAAGTATGACTACACTGAGGCCACCATTAAAGGAGGAAACTCAAGCTAACCAGGTGGAAAGATGATGTGAAGACAGCTGGCTGATCTGTGCTCATCTATCCTAGCCATCACAAACCAGGCACAAACACTGATGAGAGGCTGCTATGTCCCCGCCAGTTCCTGACTGTACCCTTAGAAGGGGACCCGACAACAAGGAAGAACTGCCCACCTGAACTAAGTCAATACATCAGCTGGTGCTTAAAAACACTATGCTTTGGGGTAGACTACAAAGAAAGAGCTAACCAGAACAGTCGCCAAGCCTTCATCCTACCTCATCTCTCAACTTGACAGAAACTCACCAATTATATTTACTGATCCAACACTCTGCTCAGTGCTGTTGCTCAAGCTGCTCTAATGGGAATGTTGCCTGAGGGAGTCCCCGGCTCTCGCTGTCACACATGCACACACGGAGCACTGTACTGATTGTGCTGATTTGCATTCTACCTATTTTCGCAAGGCCTACCTCAGGTGTCACCTCCTTCCTTAGTATGAACATATAAAGGTAATCCTGCTCCTCAGGGATTTTTCTGTTTCTCTCCTTAAATAAAGTCTCTGCCACTCATTAGCATTTATATATCAGGCTGTATTAATTTTTACCAGCTCTCCCTAACTTAAGAATGAACTCCTTGAGAGACACAGTTTCTTGTCCTTCTTTGTATCCCAGTGCTTTATATCACAGTAGGTACTCAATAAATGTAGCATTTAAGAGCATGCCAACAGGACTTATTAAAATAAGTTAAATACTTACAAAGAAATAGGTTCAAGTGAACGTTTGTTTGGGAAAACTGAATATAGCTTAAATACCTACAGTTCCCTTGAAAAGGGATAATTTTTCTCACATAGCCACATGGCTCGCTCCCTCACGTCTTTCAGGTTTATACTCAAAAGTCAATAAGGCTTTCCTTGGCTGCTCTATTTAAACTGCACCCCCCACTCCACCACTGACTTTCAACATCCCTCTCTCTGGCCCCTGCTTTATTTCTCCTCATTGCATTTATGATCTAATATATTTTACTCACTTAGAATATTTGTCAGTTTCATAAAATGTGAGTTCCACAAGCACAGCGATTTTTGTCTGTTTTTTCACTGCTGCACCCTCATGCCTAGAACATGAGGTATCTGGTACTTAATAGACACCCAATTGTCACCTGTTAAATGAATGCATGAATCAATCAAAACCAAGAATGAGTAAACTGAAAGTCTCTTATTTCCAACAATGGAGTTAACCTTTATCCCTTAAAAAATAATTAAAATTGCTTTTTACAGTAGGACACAAAGTGCTCTGAGTCGATGCACTTCCTGGTTAGTCTGACTTCTTCCTTTTCATTACCACCATTTTTCTTTTAGCAAATATGACATAGGATATTTCTGAATCACATCAGCAATCACATCAAGAACAGGAATTGCCAGAACAAGGAAGTGTGGCAATATGACCTGTGTTAGTTGGCCCAGTCACCAAGTTAAACTATTTAGCTATTCATTTTCCTTCCCTACTGGAAGGTAAAGGTAGTTGCTTGAAAAGAATCACGTGGATATAAGTGATTCACTTAAAGTTAATTCACCACAATGCTCAGTGGCTTTCATTAATCTCCGTTTCTGCTTCACTTATTTTTCCCCAGACAATATTTCTGCCGCACTGCTTAAGCAGGGACCGTGTCGCTTCTTAACAGTCTTGTGATTTCTACTGGTCTGCTGAGTTCTTTGCCAAGTTCCATAAAATGTCAGCCCCTGAGTATATTAAACTTTACCTTACAGGGTAAATTACTATTTGATGATGACAGGCTACTGAGTCACCATATTTCTTGCTGGCTGCAAGGGAGGTGATCAGTCAACCAAAGATTACTCTAATCCCCTGTAAGAATTCCTGTCTGACCTCAACCTACCCTTGCTAACAAAACCTCACACTTAAACCTGCCTCTCTGACGAGGATTTAAAGATTAAAAATCAAGTTGTAGCTTCTGTGGAGCATACCAGTAACTTAAGTTATTGAACAGAGACTAGATTTCTTTCCTTCAGACCAATACTCCTAAACCATTCTTACCTCTTAAGGAATTCCACTGCTTTTAGGATTTGATTGAAACCCAAACCTGACCCTCATAGAGCTTTCCTCAATCTTATCTCCCGTTCATTCTTCAGTCGGCTTCAATCCTCTACAGGAACTTCTCAAGTTCCTCCATTTAAAATTTCTCTTCCCTTTCTCGTAGCAGTTAATCCCAACGTTAACTAACCATGCCACTCATGTGAGTGTGTGTCTACTCCCTGCAAGGCTGAGTCGATGGAATTACATGTAAGAATCCAAGGAATATGCCTAGCACAGCGCTTTACACTTACTGCTATCCGATAAGTGTTGCGTTTCGGTACCTACAAAAATTCCCTACAGTGAAAATTCCCTCAATTAAAACTTATGGGAGGACAATTATTGTGTCAAGTCCTGTGTTGGCCACTGAGGATCAAGGATCGCACAGCATCCCAGACCTCCGAAAACAGAAGGTGGTCGTTTTCCTTTCTGCCTATCCGGTCTCTCACATACTTTTCATAAGCCCGCTTCAAATGCCACCTGGCCCCAACCACTCAGCTTATGCATAAATTCTCTGCAGCCTAACTGACTTAAGAACACTGCCCTGAGCCCCTCTGAAGAACCACTAGGTGTAACAAAAAGTTTAGTCTGTGGAAAAGCACAAACCTGCTAAAATTTCAATCTACCTACTAATACCTTTCTAACTTTGGACAAATTGGTGAATGTTGTTGATCTCAGCTCCCTCATTTTTGAAACAAGGGTATACAAACATCATCCACCTTACTGGAGCATTATAACGAATAAGAACCAGTTTTAAACGTACAGAAAGCGACTGGCTCACGGACTTAGTAGGTGTTCATTAAAGCCTATATTCCTTCCTCGAAAGCGCTGGCACTGTAATTTGCACTTAAGGGCCTTGGGACTGGGAAACTCGCTGAGCGGGAGGGCTGTGATGAGCGGTGCGCTCCAGGTACACCTGCTGGATGTGCGGTCCCCGCGGCGGGAGCCTCCCGGGCCCCCCTACGCGCTCCGGGCCTCACCTTGGTGATCGTAGACGCTAATGTAAGAGATGCCCACGGCCATACACCACACCACGAGGCTTGCGATGTCCGAGAAGCTGAACTCCTGCTCCTCCTCGGTGATCACCAGGCCCATATGCACAGGCAGCTTCTCCAGGGAAC